TTATTTTATTGTTCTGCAATTGTTTCTCAAATATCAGGAGAGTTCTATATTATTGTGACAGGTAGATCCATCCGTGTTATAGATACTGGTCGCTAAAGACCTGAATATAATAATGATTGGCAAAACATTCATGCATTTAAGAGTTAATTTTTTCAAATAAATACAGAATGACATAAATTATTATTGAACTGTATTTAAATATTTTAGTATTTAAAGGGAGGTTACATTTAAAACATACATTTTAACATTAGATGTTACATTTTGATGTTAAATATTGTTTTATATAGAATTGTTGTATAGTCTATACAGTAATAAATGTAATTACATCAGAAGTAACTGTACAGAAAATTAAGAGTAATCCCTTTACTTTTTCAAGGTAAACTAAATAAATTACAGTAATTAATTACTTACTTATCTGCTATATTGACTAATATATATCTACAAATCTATGTATAAATCTGCATATTGACTGCTATATGACTAAAATAGTATAAGCAGTCTGCTAGTTCAAATTCAGATATTGCCTTTATTAGTGTGTTAATAATAAATCATTTGATCAACCAATTTGTTCAAGAACACTGATTCTTTAAAGAAACCAAAAGCCACTGCAGTGTGCATTGTTTATAGATGTGAAACATCTGCTGTGACTGCACGTGGAACTATTTTAGTTGGCGGAGCAAAAATAGACAAATTATGCTAAATGATAATACAGTGTCTGAAATGTCGTGCTGTCGTGCTGATAACTCAAAACAACATTTTTGCTCGTGTGATATTGCTTATTTGTAAAGTGCAACAGTGCCTGTCCATTTTTTTTTTTTTTGTCCCATTGGCTCTGAAAGCATTTTTTCGTATTCATTTTTCCCATATGGATTTAAAAAAAGTTTTGACAAAGAGTAATAAGCCATGAACCAAACCAACCAGCTAAACGAGGTGAATCACAAAATTACAAACATTGAGTGAAGCAAAAAAGGTATTTTAAAATCAGGAAAAAAAAACACAAAGGTGTAATTCACGCTTTAAAGAGCGAAAATAATTTAAGCGGTGGATTAATGTAAAATATTTATTTAAGATAATGTTAAGAAACAGTTGTTTTTTTACATTTATTGAAAAGTATGCATATGTACAGAAATATGTAAGTAGAGTATGGAGGTTTGCTTATTTCGATTCTCTGATTGGTCAAGATTTCTTTGCAGAAATGAGTGATGTTTTTCAGCAGAAATTCCGCTGGTAAGATAATTTAAAATAAATAAATAAGTTGCAATAATGTGAACTGATAGCTTTAACAAAAGCATATACCATAGATTAACAACTTCATAGCTCATAGTAAAGGTCTGTCTGCAAATTCAGCATGAAACATCTTTTTGGTTTTCTTCCCTATTATGACGTTTATCTAAGTGAAACGGCTTGTTGAACAAGAAAAAATGTAGGGTGGGACTTGATTTTGTCCATCGGGAATCGATTGGATGGTTGGATCATCGTGGTTTGCTATTTCTGTGATGTCATGTGAGTGACAGGTTGTCCCGCCCTCACGCCAGTTAACGCATCATCAGAGAAGAGAAGAGCTGTCACAGCAAGAGGGAGGGAAAGCTATTTTGATTAGAGATTACGAGGGCACATAAATTTAAAAATAAATGTATGGACTAATCATTTATAATAAATAATCCAATATTACATAAAAAAAATTGTCAATTGTTTGAACTTGTTTATTCATCTTGTCACAATTGGAACTGTTTCTTTGTGGAAGCTTTGCGTTTAGTGAGATAATAAAATATTTCAACTCAAATTAACAGTTTGTGTCCAATTATTTTCTTATGTGGCAAGCAGCCATGTGATAAGCGAGAGCGTGGAATACCGTAAATTAAGCTCTGTTTTATGTCTAGGCCTTGATTACCCTTTCCTGATCACCGGCTGGTTGCAAAAGTATCCCTTACATACTGGATAAACTTTTAATGGTGAAGAGTGAGTGTTTTGTATTACCACAAACAACACTAAAAACTTTGGGAAGGATTCTTGTGTTTCATTCAGGCGTAAGATTCTGTTGCATGGCCTTAAAGATCTGCTTCACTGTCCCAAATACATATTTGGATTCATAGACTAAATACAGCTCATTTATTTTATTTAGCAAATTGAGTGTGGGCTCCGGATGCAAAGACGTGTTTGCTTTTCTTCTTACCCCATGCTGCCAGACTCTTACACAACTACTAATTAGATGTTGTTGTTTAAAAAGTAGGTCTTAAATTTCCCAAACTTTACAGTTCCTGCATTAACCAGACTATGTGCCTGAAGTGTTTTTCTGAATTTCGCCAGCAACTGTTTTTTTTATTTATTTAAATGAAAGGTGTTCTTAGACAGCCCAACACTTTGGGAAATATGTTAATTCCCCTGGAATAACATTTACATATTTGTAGATGAATGATTTCAATTTCTCTGCCAGTCAAAGCAATGCAATCAAGAGTTTGTTTGAGGCTCTGCCGGAGCATGACCTTGCGGGAAGATTCTTAAGGAAAAGTGAAGGCTATTAATCCATACAAAATTATGTACACACTTCATATGGAGACCACATCAATTATGAAATGCAGCAACTTCCTGCAATTAACAGAAATGAATCTCCGTCTCTGTTTGAGTTCAGAGTCTGGAGTCTGCCTCTTATCTTGTAAAATACACATAATATTAAGACATTTTTTCCCTGTTTTCCATTCCACCATTTTTAAAGTGCTGTCTTGATAAAAAGAAAAAAGGCAATTAATATCAAAAAAGCTGAACCTGCATTTTAAGTATTAAACTCAATCCAGTATTAATCCTCAATCCCATTGTAATCCCATTGTATTGTGTTCAGAAACATAATCATTCCTAATGCAATCATGCCTGTGAATATTAATTTATTGAAAAGGATTTGAAGGGTGTCAAATTGACCTTAAGGGAGACTGTTAAGGGAGATTATCCAACCGTATCAACATACATCTGCCAAAGAGCCAATTAATCTCATATTCTGTACATCAAAACATCTGCGTTGGCATTTGAATACAAATATCCTCTCGACTCTATAAGTGATCTGTAGTTTCTTGTATATTTGCGTTATAATCTGTAATAATCCTACAAGTCCATTCCACATGTTTGCAGACACAAAACTAATAAAAACAAGGATCTGCAGACAATGTTGTTTTGGAGAAGAAGTTTTGAAATGCCTGGTTATCATGAAGCCCTTTCCAATAGAAAACCCTTATTCAATTTTCATAATTTTAAATGCAGTGTTCCAATGAAATTTGTCAAGATAAAAATCTGTTGATCTGTATAAAGCACCATCGGTTTTCTCTAACAGCAATGAGTCAGTTGGCACACACAGCTCATCGGTTTTATTTGTAAAGAGCAGTGAAAAACCAACAGCATTACACTGAAGAAAGAGGAGTCACGGAGGCAAAAGGGATACAGTTGGATCCTGTCAGTTGCAAAGCTTTTTAATTTGCAGCCCGAATGCAATGTCCTGACACATCCCAAAAAAGTCATACCAAAAAACAAACAAAACAAAAAATTACAGTACAATTTTCAATTGTATTGTAGCTAAAAATGAACTCTTAATGTCTGTTTTCCCCTTGAGGCAAAACAAAGCAAAAAAATGGGAAATATATATAAGGGGAAACCATAGGAAATAGGATAAATAAATACAAAATAATTCACATACTAATTTACAGCTCTCAGTTATTTGTTCAAAATGAACTGCAATGAAAATTATTCTTTTGAAATAAACTCTGGTTTAAGAAGATACAAAATGAGTTTAGCAGCAAAACATGTAAAAGCATTGGCACGAGACGTAGCTGAATCATAGCAATGGCAGATATGGCAAACCAGCCACATTTATCAAGCACATACATATATAGTTGAACTGGTGCCAGTGGAATCAGGGGAGGAATGTGAACTCACACACCATCACGTATGCAATGAAACCTCCACACAACAACATTCGCACACCCTCTCACACACAGCATACATTTCCAAACATACACGGCAGTCAGACACAACACATACCTATTCATAATATTATTTGCTCTGCACACACACACACACACACACACATGGGGATCATTAGCAAAAAAGACAATGACCAAAGAAATAGAAAGCATCACTGCTATCAGCCCTTAGTCCCAAAGTATCACCCTGCTGAATGTTCAGACATTTAGGGTGCAGTAGATCAGTGTACACCAACAAATGATCATTTGTTCTTTTATACAAAGAAAAGTGCTAAACCAATTCAGAAAGAGCACCTCCAGTGAAATCAGGAGGTTTGTGTCATCTGACACAGTCACTAAAGTCCATATTTTTTGTATTTTGTATTTTTTTTGATGACGCAAAGAGTCTTATCATATTAAAAAAAGACCATTTGTCCTAATACATATCAAAAGTTCCTGTAATAAACATTTGGCTATCTTAAAGCCTATTGGCAACCAGTTCAAGATGGGAACATTGAGAGCTTTCCCACATCCATGACAGGTGTTCTGTATTCACAGAGCTTTTCTGCATCAAAGCATAGCTGAAAATCTCCCCAATGGCCCTGCACTAGGGGGATGGGGGGATAGGGGGATAGGGGGATGGGGGGGCAGATCTGTAACTAGAAGCCGTAATGTTCAACCGGAGAAACTTGCGTCAGCTCATTTCATACACATTGCCCCTGGCAAGGATTTCCACAAGAGTATTTTGTGTCTTTCAGCTTTGTTCTGCAGAAGTATAGCTGTGTAGGCATCAGGTAGACCAATCAGCATGGACAAGCTGTATGTAAAGATTATGAATGGTGTACCTTTGAAATCCTTAGAGAAATCCACGTTTGCAGTACCCTCAAGGCCTTGTGTTCTTAGAAAGCAAAGATAACAGGGGGGAAAAATGCAATAACTTTCGTATTGAACTCCATGTGCTGTGGCCTGTCCTCGCAGGTGTGCGATAGTCTACATAAATTATTTTGTTTTAAGCCTTGATTTGTCAATGTCTGTGAATATTTTTGGATTTAAGCCTGGGGCGGTAACCTGGACAAAATAAAGTCATTTGAGTCGTACGGTGTCCTGGGCAGCACAAAAAGCCCTTCGTTTACATCGAAACAGAACCGTTATTGTGCTTCTTTTAGTCCATGTTCTGAATAGCTGGATATTTGTTGTCTGAGGAGGCAATCCACCTCAGGAGCTTCAGAAGAATGTGCCTTTGGTCTTATTGCAGAGAATCTTTTTGAAGGCTCTGCGGAAGTCTTTGTTGAAGATGGTGTAGATGACCGGGTTGAGGCAGCTGTTGCAGTAGCCGATCCAGAAGAAGAATTTAAAGAGTGGTTCTGGCAGGGCACATGACTCTGGGCACACAGCCTGTAGGCTGTACGAGAAGAAGAAGGGGAACCAGCAGATGACAAAGACGCCAATTACCACCGCCAGCACAAAGGTGAAGCGTTTCTCTCGGTTCACCATTGCTTTGCGCCGTGCTGAGTTGGGCGTTCCTTCCTGCTTGGTCTTCCAGGTCACCAGCTTGGTGCCTTTGGCGGTGGCGATCATGTCTCTGTATTTCTGTATAGTGGCAGGGGAATGGATGCCACTAGGTGTCACGCTTGGAGTGCAAGGGACCTCTAACCCCCTCCCACCTTGCTCTGTGTCCGAGTCAGAGCTCATGCTCTCTCCGTTATTGTTGTCAGGCGGTTTCTTGGTCTTCTTCACTTTTTTCCCGTGTTTAGGTTTCTTAGGAGCCATTTCAGATGAATTCGAAGGAGACGGGGAAGGACACGGTGTGGTTGGCGTCAGGGCTGTCGAAGGGGCTTGCAAAAGGTTGTTGGCGATCGGGGTGCTCGCCGCCTGCTGGACGGACTCCACTTGGGACACAGCCAGAGTTGGAGGCCTAGGGTTTTTATGCAGGGTAGCAGGCGTTTCATCTCCTCTTCCGTTTTGCAGACCCTCCTTGTGCTGAGACGTTGCGGCATTGGCTGGGACCTCTTTGCGGGGCTCCCCCGGTGGACACCGCGTGCGCTGCTTGGCAATCTGGTAGATCCTTATGTAGACTAAGATCATAATCAGACAAGGAGCAAAGAAGGAACCGATAGTAGAGTACAGGATGTACCAGCGCTCATCATTGAGCTGACACTGTGGCAGTCCATCTGAATCGACACCTCCTTTATTCTTGTTCATGGAGAGTAACGGTGGAAAGGAGATGACTGCTGATATCAGCCACACCACCAAAATTGCACATTTGATGCGTTTGTGCGTCCGCTTTGCGCCGTATGTGACGGCGCGTGAGATAGACAAGTAGCGGTCTAGACTGATGGCACACAGGTGTACTATAGAGGAAGTGCAGAACAACACATCCAACGCCAGGTAAATCTCACACCATACGGTACGGAAATACCAGTATCCCATCAGTTCATTGGCCAGCGAAAATGGGATGATGAGGGTGGCTACCAAGATGTCTGCAGCCGCAAGTGAGACCAAGAAGAGATTCTGGGGTCCTCTAAGTGAGCGGCTGGTTAAAACAGCGATGATGACAAAAATATTACCCACAATTGTAAAAAGAATCATCAATGTGATGGCTGTTGCAAAGATTGCTGTGGCTTCTGGAGAGTATGGGGCGAGCTTTATCATACTCTGGTTACAAGTGGGTGAAGACGTGCCTCCGGTGCTGTTGATGTTGTGGCCAGGAAGACCTGTGCCTGCAAAGCACGCGCTATCCATGACTGCCAATGCCCTGCCACTAAATATGTATGTGGACTAATGTTCTCTCTCTAATCCAAATGTGGGTAGAATAATTTTAACAATTTCGTTCAGCTGTTTTTTTCCCCCCTCTAAGAACTTAGTGGAAGATATTTTGTTAAATATTAAATTAAATAAACTCTCAACGTATAAACCCCCTTACGTATAAACGAATGAATACATCTCTAACTGCAGTAAATAAATGGCAGCCATTGTTATGTCACAACTCATCGAGTGTTGGTATTTTATTACTTAGCGTCACATTAAAAAATGGAATAAATGTCATCTGAGTTTTGGAACAGTTATGGAAACATACGAATTGATTTAAAGGATAACCATCAAATACATTATATGTCAGATTAAATCTAATGAGTTATTATTTACGGTTGTAATTAACTATCATTTACAAAGGAAATGTGAGGGGAAAAAATCCCGGCCAGTGCAAAAATACGAGTGCCACAGACAGATTAATTGGCAATATAAAAAAGATGCGCAATATTGTGCTTCTGTAAATTATTTGGAAAACAGTAATTCAACACAAATATTCAAGTTAAGAATAAAAAAATGGTATAAATTCATAAGTTCTTACAAAACAAATATATTGGAATGCTTAAATGTAGGTTACCCAGATGCACAACCCTCCACGGAGCGCGAGGCTTTAAATATAAATCTCCAGAGAGCAAGCAGCAGCGCGCGGCGATGTGCCAGTTTCCCCTCACAGTTTTCACAAGTTTGCAAAAAGAATTTAAGCGCAACAACTACCCTGATAAATCATGTAGTCTGATGTAGTTGTGTCGTTGTTACATTCCTGAGTGTAGAAAGTCGGCATAATAAAGATTCAGAGGCACGCCAAAATTTGTCTGGTATGTCCAAAGCACTAAAAAGAAGTATGCCTGATAACAGCTTGTCGTCCGTCTCCCTCCGTGTTCCTCCCGTTATAGTCACAGTATCTCATTCAGCAAGTTAAATGCCTCCTACATGCCTCAGTGACCGTTTTAAGTATCGCGCGAGCCGCACTGGATTCATATCTACGCAGCGGTTCTCCTCAGGACCCCAGTATAAGTGATGTCAGGACGGGCGTCATGAGGCAACTCTTCCCTCCCACATAAAAGCCTGACCTATCATGAAACTCTATTGTAGAGCATAAAACAAATACAGCCGTGTAGTGGGTGCAATTAAAATAATACATTTTGGAGAGGTCAACAATCCAAACAGCTTGTAGTAGGCTATGCAAAATGGATAAAGGTAATGATTTTGATTAATGATATTTACATAATGAAGAGTAGCTATACATGATTAATGCTGCTATATATTCGTTTGGGAAGTTTACATAAACTCGACCACCGCAGGATATATGGTAAAGCGTCATGCTATGTAAAATGAAAGGTTGTTCTGCAGTTTAAGGTGCGTAAACTTCAGAAACATGTCATGTTGTTGACTACATCCAACAAAAAAAGCAACAAATCAAAAAGTAAGTAGACTGTAAAAGCAACAGAGACCTGTCTGAAACGTTTAAAACTTTAATCACAGACTGCGCTCTCGTGCGTAAAAGGACTCGTGACAATCGAGCGCTTCCTCCGCACCGTATTCGCGCTTCATTTCATAAAGATCAAGTGGTTTAATGCTCTCTTCAGATGAAAAAGTGCAACATATATACAAAATCGCAATTTAGAAGCCCCTCAAGCGTATCCATTAGGATCGGTTTCCTGAATCACCTGTATTACCGTCGTGATTTTTAGCAAAGAACACAGGACGTTATGTCAAAAGGGTCGAATGAGTTGCTGTATTTCCAGTATGCAAAAAAATATATTAAATAAATATTTGCACGAAGCAGCATTTCGCACAGAGAGCTCTTCAGTAGAGAACTATGTTTTAGATAAATATTGGTCTGTTTTGATAGATAGATAGATAGATAGATAGATAGATAGATAGATAGATAGATAGATAGATAGATAGATAGATAGATAGATAGATAGATAGATAGATAGATAGATAGATAGATAGATAGATAGATTTACTTTGTTCATTTACAAACCTGTGGTAAGCGCTGCCCCCTTATGGACAACAAAATACAAACAGGCATGTCTTCAGAAGATATTATAAATATCTCAACATCATTTAGCAGGTGTCTGGTTATTTAATAAGTAATTATTACTTCATTGATCTAGAAGACAATGTATTTTGTTCAATATTTTATTCATACAAAAGTCCTTGAAGTTATTGCAATGTTGTTGCTGTATGACGTTCACACATAGGCCTACTGTGTAAAGCCTGTTCTTATAGACTAAATTGCTTGGCTAGATATCCAAATCTTAAAGGGTGTTACAATTTCCACTGCATGACAGGTTCTTTTTCCATTCATGTCAGTAGGCCATTTAAAACCATGACACTCCTGAGGATGAAGTTCTCTTTGGAAGCTGCATTTCATATATTGTAATTTTTTTTCCCCCAATAGCTTTCAAGAAGTTCATGATGTTCCTTCTGGGGAGAAGTCATTTTCTTCTTGATAGACTGATGTATCAGAGAGGCCGTTTAATTCGACCCTTGTGAAAAAGAAGTGTGCTTAATTGTATTGAACATTTACTTGCAGTGTATACTTCAAATCTAAAAAAAAACTGTACTTGACAATATGTTATTGATGAAATAAAATGACATTTAAGTGTACTTAGAGTTTCTTAACACACTTTTAAAAGTGCACTTTAAAATAACGTCACATTAAAAGTTTTACCTTAAATTACATTTTGAATCATAATGTTTTAACAATCTTTTGTCATGCGTAAAAGAAGTAGGCTACACTTATTTTGATGCGAATGTGATGACTAATATACCAAAACACATGCAAACTTGATTTTAATTTGAACTGTAGTGTTATTTATTATTAAATTGCAACTTCATCATTACAAATATGTAATTACAAATATATTTAAATGCATGACACAAGTTTCAATAGATTACATTTTAGTTCGCCATATTGTCACATTCGACAGTATGGGCTATATTTCAATTATGCAATTATGAAATAACACATAAAGAAGTACAATTAACTTGAATGTTAAAGTCATAAGTTTATTATTTCTGTAATAAGTACTCTTTTTATACTTTTTGGCTATTTTGAGATTATCTTCATCCTCTGGTCACCATGTCTGCTTGGCTGATCCTCTTGTATCAGTTCAAAACCAACAGACAGCCTTAATAGACATTTTAATTTGAGTATAACTAAATAATGTATAAAAAAGTATTTTAATAAGATCCTTTTTATGTATTAGCCTATGACTTTTTATGTCAGAAATGTTATGGAAGTTCGTTTTTAAGAGAGAAAGAGGGAGGTTATGAATGTCATGCTTGTAGGCCTACTGTTAATTCTGCAGTTTCTGATAGCAATGAAAACAGTATCATGCAGAGCAACATTAGTTAGGCTATTTGAAACAACCTCGATTCCCAACAACAATAAGCAAACTGTGCCTTTACATCATGTTCCTGTTGTTATGAGCAAGCTGATGGGGTGCGCATTCACAAAAAGAATTAACCCCGGACAACATGCAGATTTTCCAATTCACTTAGACAAAGCGCATTGGAGCTGACAAGACTGCCAATGTTCCAATAGCCTGTGGTAAGCACTATTCAGGGGCGTCACTAGGATTTTCATTTTAGGGGGGCTAAGCCCCCAATATGATTTTTAAAAAAATTATAAAAAATGTAACACTTTAGTTTAGGATCTAAAGCTCACTATTAACCATTTTCATTACGATGCAAAGGCACGGTTTTATAATAACTGTGGTCCCAAATGTGAGGCAGGGTAAATACGGGGGTTCGGGGTCTCCCCGAGAAAATTTTGATTTCTCTGATCACATATGTGTATTTTAAGATGTTCTGAAGGCCAAAAAACTTGGATAGTGGGCAGCTGATTATTTTTCTCTCCTCATCAGCATCACACTCTTTTTCTCTTGTTTTTATCTTGCCCTGTCTCTTCCCCTCCTAAAGCTGAGCTTTGACTGATAAAGGCTTTTCATTTTTGTCTGTCAGTGAAGAAAGTAAACATAGGGTCAACTGATAGGGTGATTTTGCCTATGAATCATTTTCTCAGACGCGTTTATTTACTGAAAGCTACTAAAGGTAAGTTTATTAAATGCATTCACAATATGTAGGCTACACATTTATTATTGATCTTATGCCTAATACAGGGCCGTAGACAGGGCTTTATAATCACAGAGGTCCTAAATTTGAGGTTGGTAGGGGGTTCAAATTTTTTATTTCTCTGATATGTGCATTTCAAGACGTTTGAAGACCAAAAAAAAGGATAAGAAATAGCTTTAAAACCATGTCAGTGGGCAGATTATTTTTTTGTCAATACCTGCTCTCTTCTCATCTCCATCACTCTTTCTTTTTTTATCAGTCTCTTCCCTCTTCCCCTCCTAAAGCTGAGCTTTTTTAATTTACTAAAGGCTACAATTTGTATTATATTCTCAATATGTACACATTCATTATTAATCTTGTGCCTAACATGATGAAAACGGCTTTGTTAATGTTTCTTGTAAACTAATTATTACATGAGTCACGTTACATAGGCCTATTTTCAGCTCAAAATGGCGAAATTTGACACAACTATATTAGTTTGCCTGATTATTTTTTGTCATTCGTTTAACATTTATGACATGAAAAAGGTAAAATATGAAATGTTAAGTTTAGCTACTTACATATTATCTCGCTCTTGACCGTACGCGTCGAGTCGCACTGTTAAAATTCGCGCTCAGCAGCGTCTGTGAACATTAAGCCCGCCTACTTTGATTTGATTGGTCATCTCAAATATTCTGACATTGACGAGCAGTGACAGACCAATGAGGCTCAGATAAACACACACATGAACACACACACACACCCTGTCCTCTGTTTCTGACGTGCTCTCTGCTCGGCGCCGCTGCGGATTGAAGATGAAGAACGCGCTGAATCTGATTATAACAAGACTGAAGCGAACACGAATTTGTGTAGCCTACATTAATCTCACATTTTTAGGGGGGCTAGGCAGAAGTTTAGGGGGGCTGAAGCCCCCCTAAAAAGGGCCTAGTGACGCCCCTGGCACTATTTAAATTATTTGTTTAGATGCTGCTGTCAGAATAATGGTGTCAAATGAAAAGTGCGGATATGATTTCAGTCGCTGTGTAATGGCTCTAACAGCCGAAATATTTACTGGGTAATATGTGATTCAGAAATATGATCCCCTCAATGGCACTGGATCAAAGTTTAACAGTTAAGCTGGATCCAATTAAAATTTCAATTTAAAACTGACACGGTAAGCAAATAAGTTTGGCGGACAGCATCGCACCAAAGCTGTTAGTTTCAGAAGATGTTCAGAGTTTTATTCCACAATCCGCTTTATCCTTATTAGGGTCGCGGAGGGCTGGGGCCTATCCCAGCGTCTAGGGTCACAGGTGGAGAAACACCCTGAATTGTTGACCAGCTCTTCTTCATGTTGGGTCACAGGCAGTGTCGTCTCTTGCCAGGCAAAGGGAAAAACCCTCTGGTGTGCCTGATCCAGCCTTGACAACACTGTCCTCACCTTGCTCTTCCTCCTCTCCTTCTCAGATTGTTTCCATATTGTTCGTATCCACATTCAGTGCACCTGTGCCACCTGTGCACTCTGAGCTGGCTTATTTTGTATTGGTTTGATCACACATCATTGGAAATAAGATTCGCTGTGTGTAAACGATGACAGCTGTGTTTTAGTTGTGCTGCCCCTTGCAACACATGCATCACAGTGCGATCATTTAGTGAATGAGAATGTTTTGTAGAAAGAGTGCATGAGATTTGCAAATGGTGTCTAACTGCCTGAACTTGTTTAAGGTTTTACTGAAAGAGTGATTTATTCGACAAATTGTTTTAGGCTATTGCGAATTTGGTTCAGAGAATGGGGTTTAGTGTTTTAGCAATTCAGAAAATTGACTTCGAATAATCAGCAGATGGCGCTGTGGTAAAAGATTTCCACTGCTTGTATCCTGTGGCAAAACCAACAATCCAAAAAGTGGTATTTTCCCATATTAATACTTTTGTAAGATTACCACAGCAGTGAGCAAGGACGGATCTTGAATGTATGCCAATGTAACATAAAATAAGAAATGCACAATGTTATCAAACATTTGGGGCCAGGAAGATTTGTTTATAAGAAACTGAAACTTGCTTTAGAAAGGAGACATTAAAACTGATAAAGATGAAGATTTATATTTCAAATAACTGCTGTTCTTTTGAACTTTTTATTCATCAAAGGATCCTTAAAAAAATATTATTACGGTGTCTACAAAAATATTAAGCAACTGGTTTCAAAATGTATATAAAAAAATAAAGGTAACACTTTACAATAAGGTTCATTAGTTAACATTAGTTAATGTATTAACCAATATGAACTAACAATGAGCAATACATTTGTTACAGTATTTATTAATTATGTAAATTTTAGTTAATAAAAATCCAGCTGTTCATTTTTCATGTTAGTTCACAGTGCATTAACTAATGTTAACAAATACAACCTTTGATTTTAATAATGTATTAGTTAATGTTGAAATTAATATTAACAAAGATTAATAAATGCTGCAGTATTGTTCATTCTTAGTTAATGCTAACTAAGGTAGTTAACTAATGTAAACTAATTCACCTTATTGTAAAGTGTTACCAAATTTTCTATTCATCAAAGGATCCTAAAAAAATGTATTACGGTTTCTACAAAAATATTAAGTAACTGGTTTCAAAATTTATTTTAAAAAATTAAACAATTAGAAATGTTTCTTGAGCAGTGAACACTGAAGACTAGAGTGATGATGCTGAAAATTCAGCTTTGCTATCAGAGGAATAAATATATATTAAAATAGAACAATTTTCAAATGTATTCTGGTTATTTGGACATAAGAAGTTGGTGCCTTGGGGGCTCTTGAGGCCAGAATCTGTCAGTGTGTAAGGATAAAAAAATATATATGATTGATTTAATTAAAAAGATAGAAAGAAAACTACATTCAGTATTGCATTAAACAAATGAATCCATCATTTTATTTACATATTGAAATGAGTTAACCACATAGCTTACAAAAGATCTTATCAAAACAAATCTAATTTAAAGTGCATCGCGTGAATGAAAATAGATAAATAAATATTCACAAAAATGAAGGAAATAACACTTTATAAAAAATAAAACACATTAGCAAAATGGCTTTAGTGCCTTTATCTATCGCAACACAATTTTAACTTCATTTTAAAAAGACCTAGGATCACAGTTTGTCAGGTCTTTTGCCCTTTAAAACATGTTTGAGACACACAATTAGACGAACTTCATGGAAAAACTTGACATTTACCAAACAGACGACTAAACCACAAGTCACAGCCATATATGGTCACAGCATCACTCAATGGAACATTGACTGATGCAACATCTATGATGATCTGCAGACATACATCCTGAACATATACTATTGTTGAACGCTAAATGAAAACGCTTTAGGAGACTATATTAGACGTTTGGCAGGACAGAAGTTGTTTGTCTGTTTCATCAATATCTCAGATGGGTTGATGTTATAAGATCACAGTAGTAGTCGAGTACACAATGTCACAATGACATGTGACTATTACACTTTCCACGAGGGATATTGAGTGTAATAGTCGTTCGGAAACGACAACTATGTAGAGTTTGTGTTGCCATAAACAATCAAGAACAGGTAGTCAGTTGATGCAGTCTACAAGTTTACCCAAACAAGTTGAGTTATGCCATGGTGTTAGTTTTAAAGGGTGAGATGCCACATTTGGTCCCACGTGTCAGTTTGTACACCCATAGCATCGAGCAAAAACTTCCTTTAAGCACCTTTGTAGATTTGTCACAGTCTTTGAGGTCAAATCTGCGACTAGTAGATCTGAAAGTTAGTGGGGCCAGTTCAAGATTTCTTGACTGGTACTAAAACGCAGTGCCACTGTTTTCTCTGTCTAGTACAGAATAAGGGCACAAAACGTCCGTCTCGAACTGCAGAAGTTGTCCCATGAAAGCTAGATTGGGTGAGATGACTTGTCTGCGGCGTTTTACAAAGTCAAAGGCCTCGTCCAGACGGACACGTCGAGCGTGTATGAGGTACGCCAGGCAGATGGTGGCCGACCGGGAGATTCCTGCATGACAGTGGACCAGCACTCGCCCGCCACTCTCTTTTATCGAATCTGCAGATGCAATGAAGGTGAGCGTTAGTTTTTAGCTCGTTGTTATTTTTCTGAAGGATTCTGAAAACTCTTTTTACCATTAGGACTTACCAATAAAATGGATGGCCTCTGGAAAGAGCACGCGTATGTCTGCGGCAAGACTGTCCTCCACCTTCAGAGTTTTGTACTGAAGTTCCTCCTCAAACAGGTTCGGACAGGAAGAGGACACGTTGAGCACTGCCGTGATCCCACAGCGTTCCAGAGTATCCCGTCTGGACGAGTGATGCGCACTGCCCAGAAAGAGGAAGGGGAGGATTTCAACTGGACCACCCTGGTAATCCAAAAGGATAAAAATCAATGAGTATATTCAAAAGATATTGTGTGATATTACAAGTCATTGTATAATTTATTATGATTTTGAGATTTCTAATCACCAACCTGATCGTAGAGAGGAGTCTTTCTTCCGGACACAATGGACTCTGGTTCACTGAGAGCAGGATTGTTTGAGAACATGACAGGAGTGTTAAAGCAGAGCTCTGGATAAAGTGCAGAGAACCCGTCAAATCCACCTAGAAATGGTCAGAGAAAACATTTAGTTAATTTTCATTTTCTGGGTTTGACAAAAACACTGTTAAAAGTTGCTGACTAATATTTTTAAGTACAATCAACTTGTGCAACATTTATCTTTCTCCAAATATATGAGCTATTTATGTTTATTAAATATAATTACTTTCATTGATACAACTTAAGTCAGGCTGAGTTATATTAAATCATATTATTCCATTTAATTCAAATTACATTTTAACTTTTTAGGTCACCTGCCAAACAATGTAAATTTATTTACAATTTAAATAGGCGTATAGAAATATAAAATATAACAACTAATTTAGCAACTAAATTAAAGTATTCCCAAAAAGAATGACAACATGTAGTCCTGTTGAGTCATTAAATCTTTGTTCCAATTTTTTAGTATGTAAAAGAAATAGCACGTATTGCAATTTAACTGAATTTAAGTTCTATTCCTCAAAAACAACGACAACATTTATAGTTTTCTACCTTGTAAGAAGCATATGTGCGTCGAGGCAGACTGGACCTCTAACTTAAGGGCACTGATGAGGAGACTGGCCAAACTCTCGCTCTTCAAATCCCTCACCGACCGACTGTTTTCATCCAGGACCACCACCGGAGAGAAGTCCCCGTTCCGCAGCTGGGCCAGCAGAGACTTATCGGCCACCAGCCATTCCAGAGACACCACGGAGCTCTTGGACCTCCGTCTCAGCATGGAATTCCAGTTGACGTTGCGGGACTCGATGATGTGCGCTCGGGAGAAGCCGAGGAAAGGCCGACAGTCCAACACGATGCATCCTCCAGACGCGAAGAGCTCAGAGGGAGTCCGCAAAATATGAACTAACTCACTACCTGAGATCTCGAGAGGGTCGCCGATACCCATGACCTCTCCAGACAAACAAACAGCCGTGAGTGGAAAACTGATATTCTTCACAGCATCAAGCGCGTTCAATATATGGGAACGTATTTTGTCCTCTGGAAATGAAGTGCTATAAACAATAACAAAAATAGATGACACAAAACAGTATTATGTCCGTGGAGGCCTGGTGTGTTTTCACAGTATTAGCCTATTGCTTTGTCTTTAACTCTAAATGTCATATAATCTTCGTCTGAATTTCGTCAAAGCTTAGGTTTAAAGTCCTTTATTTCTCAGCAGCTGTGATTCTACAGTACAGGAGGGGTTGGAAACAGTATTTGTATCGCGTCTCCTCTGCCACAGCCACGCCTCGTTTTCCACATAAGGAACAGACGTCACGTTCGGAAACACCATATATGGTCTGTTGACTTAGACCGACATTCCAAATATGGGTGTTGAGGCGCTCTCCGCTCTTTTCCCATCGGCACGTGGTCGTTGGGGTTACCCGTGTTTTTTATTTCGTGACGTGAGTTTAAGCAGTATGCTACCATAGAGCCGTACAACCGCAGCGGCAACACACACACACACACACACTGGCACACGGCCTATTATTAGTTATAACACCCGTGCGGTGAGGGCTTTGGGCAAGGTCACAAGAGATAGGTCGTTAAATCAGGAAGGAACATCAAACCACGCTGAAGGCGATGATGTTATTTTTCATGGTTGACCGTACGTACCACGTAATTTTGTGTGGGTAAAATACACTGCTACAACTTTCCACACAGGTGTACACTTTCAGTGGGTGATGCAAGCTGTCAGGAGAAAGAATAGACACAAAGATGCCAAGAACACACACTTTACACACAATTATGCTTTAAGCAGAATAAAGAAACATTGAAATAAAAAACAAACAAATGTCTAGTTAAAAGTATTTAGGAATGTAATGAATGCAGAACTAAATTGTTTATTAAAACAATATAAAAAGAAAATTAGGCCAATAAATAAAAGGTCACATTAACATAATATAATTATTTTATTGTTTTATTTTGAAATAACAATGCATTCCAAAGTACATTGCAGTAAAGTTTAGTCAGAGGTAAACAGGTATCAGATATATTTGCATTATGTATGACAAATAAATTTAAATAAACAGGAGTGTATCTCTACAGTTTGTACATTAGTGCAGATAATTTTATCTTAGTAGCAATTTTATTTAGTTATGTCTATTGTCTCTGAGACTCCAAATATTTAAAACAGGTTATCAAATTGGTGATTATAATCAAATCTCATAGCATTAGAAAATGTATCACAGCAACATAACAACCTGATACAATATGTCAAGTATTATTTTTTGAGCTATTAAAATGACTGAAACTCCAAACAGAACATGAGGCTTAAACAAATAAAAAATGGTTCAAGTATCATTGTATTGATTGAATTTTTTTAAAGTTCTTAAATTGAATGTTTCGCCTAAAAAAATATACAGTATTTCACAAGATTGTCATAATTTTCTCTGCATTTAACTCAACCTAAAAACACAAAGCAAAACTAAAACCAGAGGTTGATTGCAGTAAGCATAGCGGCAATGTATTTAGGTCCTTAGTAATTGAATGATTTTTTAAAAATAGACACTTTAAAATCAATTATGTGACTGGACAAACACAGAGATAAACAGATCAATTCCAAATGTACGCTTCTTTTTTTAGCCCTAAGAACAAACAGCACCGTGGCAGACACTAAGGAGCAGGTTGTTCTCTTGATGCTCGAATGACTCTTAACAGCACGGCCTCCCACGCATCCTACTTATTCTGGTTGTCCAGGACTCAGTGTCTAGCCAGCACTTTCTCAATGCACATCCACACAAAAGAGGCTTGTACTTGTGAATGAAATGATGTGCAGTGGAGAAATGGGCCATGTGGTATAAAGTGGAAAAACAACATGAACTCTGAATGCAGGATTATGTTTGGAATTAAACAGATCAAGGGTCTGGATAATCTTTAACAGCAATCTGTAATATTCTGAGGTCACATTCACAAACACTGCATTCAGACTCTCTCTATCCCTATATCACAGGTTATTTGTCTTTATCATCATTTTTCATTTTATGTCATTTATTTATTCATGTATTGGCTCTGCACCCGCTCGTTCTCTGCAGCTTTAAAGGCACAAATCATTATTTTTTAATGCAATGTATTTGAAGCAGTTGTTCTAAACCTCTCCATACCCTCTTTATATACTCTTACATTAAAGATATTATGGAATAATTTCTACTGACAGGATTTAGCAGTGATTTCACATTGTAAAATGCTTTTTACAGTGAAATTACTGTACGTATGCCATTACACAAGAAACTGCTGTAAATAAAACAAATAATAGTCATATCTTGCTGCATTGTGGAATAATAGTGAAGTAATGCTGATTAATAGTTATTGACTATTAAGTCTGATCATATCTTGAAATCTACACTATATGTGGCAATATTGAATGCTTTACAGTACAGTGTTAAAAACCGTTAAGGGTGGTTGGGGAATTTTAATGCTGTTTTGGTGAGCTGAGTCTGGGAAATTATTAGTATGACTCAACCTGGAGTGAAACTTTCACTTTATTTCTATGGTCCACAAGACATTCTACTAATAAGTAACGTTGCAACTACATGTCAACTGTCGAAAAAAGTGTTAACAAAAATATGATGGAATTCATTCATTTATTCATGCTTGAAATGTAAATGCAACATCACACCATAAATGTGTGTAAATATATACAGCATGACATTACTGTAACACAGATCATGTTCTACATCGCAGTCAATTCCTGCTCCTGTTCACACTGCAGTATTAGAATACTGTTGTCATTTCCTGTAATCATTTGTAGAACCACTACTGTAAAAAAAATTACTGTGAAAGTACGGCAACAAGCAGCCAGGAATAAAATGTACATTCAAATGAAAGTACGGAAACTAGTAGCCAGGAATAAAGTGTAAATTCACCCTCTTTCTTTTTCTTTACGCCGTGGAACATCTCCCACAAGTCTGAGCTCACATTTAATTTATTTTAAATGACAACAACAAACATATGGCACTACTGGGGGAGGGTGTGTGTGTCTGTGAATCACACTGAGAATGGAAATGATGCTTCTTAATCAATACGGCCTATCAAATGTGATGCATCATAAGAATGCAGTCTTATGCTATTGCTCAATAACATGATAACCAAAAATGCCTGTGGTTAACCAAACCAAATATGACTTAAAAGCACATCATTATGCCTCATGCTGACAAGAAGTATTATTCTTAACTCTCATGTTGACTTACCGTTTTAAAATGTGGGGTCCAAGAAATCTGTGTGTATATTAATTATATTATTATGTAGTAATTATTATATTGTTTTTGAAACTCAATTCTTATTTATTTATTTTTGTTTCTTTTTTTATGTTCCTCAGACCCTCATTATTGAAGCTTAACTGCCTGATTTATGACAAGAATTTTAGTTATTCTCTTTTGGGTCAATGTGAAAACTACAGTAACACTTTGCAATAAGGTCCCATTAGTTAACATTATTAATGCATTTACTACCATTAAGTAACAATGACAAATACACGTGTTGCATTTAATTGTCTTTGTTGACATTAGTTAACAAAAAATACAACTGTTTATTGTTAGTTCATGTTAACTCAGTTACATTAAATAATATACAAATTTTGAATTTAATAATGTATTGGTAAATGTTAAAATTTACATCCACTAAGACTAAAAGATATGTAGTTCATGTCAGTTCATGTAAATTTATGTAGTTTACTAATGTTAACAAATGAAACCTTATTATAAAGTGTAACCAAAACAAATGATAAACCAATGACAAAAGTGGATCAGAGATTTGTTTTCATAGTTTAGTAATTTTATTAACGGCATTATTTATGGTTTTATATCCAGGCCCCCTGAGCCCCCAAACTAATGTGATATTGGAAAAGGTTATTAAATATATATGTATATATTGTGCTATTAAAATTACTCTCCGAAACCCAAACAGAACATAAGAAACATCAATGTTTTAATGAAAAGTGTCATTGAATTGATTAAAATAGTATCCGCCAAAATATACAGCATTTCACAATATCATAATATCCCACTGCCTGTTGAAAATAAGCAACTCAGCCTAAAATCACAAAGCAAAACTAAAAGCACTGTTGTCAAAGGAAGAGGAGGAGGATCCTCCCATGCACTGAGGTGTAAAGAGCAGCTGAGTTTAGCTCTGTCCTCCTTTCTCATTCACTCCCTCAGTCTTGAATTTCCCTTCATTCACTCTGTTTCTCCCCCGTCTTTTTCCCCAACAAATTCTCCCACAGCCGTGGCCACTCTTCCATCCCACACTCCTCTTCCTGTTAAGTTTAAGAATTTGAAGGTTTGTGTTCATGCTTGCCTCATATCAATCCGGCTGTCAGTGCATGTCTTTGCTCGTCAAATAATTGATAATTGGCTTGTGACATAACCGTCATTCCATTAAATAAGAATTTAGTGAAGACTCGTGTCACAATTGATATGAGATCAACTGCTAATGTTGTAACTATAGAGCAGTCAATTCAGTGTGTTATTTTACTGCTGTTAATTATGTAAAAAATGTGTTAAAATGAACACGATCTTGCCTTTTTGCCAGCATCTAAATAGACTATATAAGTGATTTTCTAAGTCAAATGTTCTTACTCATGTTGTTGTTGCTGCTACAGACAATCTGTCTTGCCAGACCACAATAACTCATTCTGCTCAGAACGAGTAAACAGCCGTTCACTCTCGTGTTCAAAAACATCCTTCATGCGCTGCAACTAAATCTCGGTCAGGTTCAATAAACCCAGAAGCTAAATGAATCGCTGTGGCCTATAACATGGAAATAGACGATATATAAAGTATATCTACACGCCCCTGTTGAAACAGCTGGTTTTTGTGATGTTAAAAATGAAACATAGATAACTTATATCAGATCGTTTGCACCTTTAATGTAAAAATTACAACCTTTGCAATGCCACCGAGAACCACAGTGACATATTTCACAGAAAAAAGATAAAAATACAACCGTAAAATAGCCTAACTGCAGTAGTGTGCACCAACCTGAAATAAGACTAAGTTGAAGCACCCTTTGATTTTATCTATCTGTCTGTCTCATTCCTGCATGCCAGTCTTTTTTATTTCTCATCATATATCATTCAGTGAATCTAGTATAGACACCTGCTACATTGTGTGTGTGTGTGTGTGTATGTGTGTGTGTGTGTGTGTGCCAGTGGCTTTGTGAGGGTGTCAGGATGAGGGTGTTGAGCTTCAGTTATTGCTGCAA